CTAAACTCTAAAACACCCTAAAACCCTAAACCATAAGCCTCTAAACCCCTAAAACACTCAACCCTAAAACCTTAAAGCCGTAAACCATAAAGCCCTAGACCCCTAAAGCTTTAAAACTTAAAACCCTAAAGCCCTAAACCATAAAACTCTAGACCCCTGAAACCTTCAACTTTAAACCTTAAACCCAAACCTATAACATAGTACCCTTATAGTAGCCCTTTAAAGGACCCCTTTAAAGGAACCCCTCTCCGGAAGAGACGAGTCGAGTCGGGCAGGCCGATGACCAGGCGAAAGAGGTGCTGGGCGTATATCTCCAGCTGGCAGAGGCTTTCGGGGGCGGTACCAGAGTTATAAGGGGCTCCTTAAAAGGGTTCCTTAGAGGAATCTATAGGGTTCCTTAGAGTGATCTATCCCAATTAGGGTACTTATAACTGTACTTACTAAGTCCCATGAACCTCCAAGTACAAGGCATGCCTTAGCCCACCAGAACCTACTGTTGTCCATGGCCCCTATAAACATCCCAATGAAAGGTCAAAAATAAGAACTTACAAAAGCGCAGGTTTTTGGTAGGTTAAGGTAGGTTTGGGGTTGAGGGTTTGAGTTTTCAATCATTCTAGGGTTCTATCATGGTCCTCTCGGGTTCCATAGGGGTTCTACACAGGTGTTACAAGGATTCCACAAAGATTCTGTAGGAGTTCTTTCAGCCGAGTTCTATGAGGTTTCATTTATCAAGATTTGTAAGGGCTTTAGTTTTTTTTTTCAGATCTGGAGGCTCCTGCTTAGTGCTTTGAAAGGGGGACGCAGATGGGGGCTCAAGAACGTAGGGTTGTCATTGTTCGGATACCCTTTCAGGTACAGTTATAAGCACCGTAACTGAGGATATATGCAAGTATGAGTGTAGCATAGTTATTTTGTTTGTTTATAGCCTTAGTTACCAAGTCCCATGAGCCTTGAAATGTTTTGTTGTGAGGATTGCTACAATCTTGGTTTGGGCGTCCTCGGGTGCAAGTATTGGGGTTGAGCGAGTATTTCGAACAATCGGCAAATGAATGTAAGCCGGGACTAGACCCCGAAATCCCCTAAACCGTAGAACCGTCAACCCTGAACCCTGAACCTCAAACCCTACGCCCCTAAGCCCAAACCCTGAACCTTTGTACAGCCCTTTAGCAGTACCCTCGACTCAAAGGAAGCCTTTAGCCCCAAACCCCAAGCCAGGGACCCTTAATAAGGACCCCTAGGTATATACCCTTAATATAGCTATTATATACCCGTTATATAGCCAAAAGCCCCAATCCCCAAGCCAGGACGAACTCTGTCTACCAATCGTTCCCGGGCGCAAGTCCAACAACGAGCGCTTCGCCGGGGCGGCGGAGACGTACACCATCGAGGCCCTCGGAGACCCCTCAAAGCGTTCCTTTGAGGGTGGCCTTAAGGATCCTTTTGGGAGGGTTGGGGCTTGGGGTTCGGGGGTTCAGAGTTTAGGGTTTTAGGGGTGTAGGGTTTTGAGGGTTTTGAAATTTAGGGTTCAGGGCGTAGGGCACAGGGATAACGACTCCAAAGCCACCCAAGCTAAGGACATTTCGTTGTTTCAAGAAAGGAGGATCCCTCTGTAGTCCAAGGTATATCTCTTAACCAGCCAGGGGAAAATTGAATTCCGAAAATTAAAAGAAGGATCCCTGAACCCTACACCCTAAGCTATCATTTAAGGTCTATTTTAGAAGCTGCCCCTTCCCTGTAATAGTGACTATAAGGATTCTATTAGGGCCCTATTATATTCCGATTATACCACTATTACAGTAGGGTGGGGGCCCCTTCTAATCCTAAACCCTAAACCCTAAACCCCTAAACCCTAAACCCCTAAACCCCTAAACCCTAAACCCCTAAACCCCTAAACCCTAAACCCCTAAACCCTAAAACCCTAAACCCTAAACCCTAAACCGTCTGCCGGGTTTCGGGGTTACCTCGGCCGGTCGAGCCGAAGACCACCCAAACAAAGGGATAAGTGAGATTCCAAAAATTGGGGGGGTTCCTTAAAAAGGATCCTTTTAGGGTTTGAAGGGATCTATATAAGGGTCCTATAAAGGGTTTAGGGTTTAGGGTTTGGGAGTTTCCAAAAAATGAGGGTACCTTTTTTGGGGGATCCTTATAATAAGGTGAAGATCAGCTTGGGTGGGTGTTTGGATGGGGTTTAGGGTTTAGGGTATAGGGTTTATGGTGCAAGGTTTCGGCAGGGTTCAGGGCCTAAGTTTGGGATTGGTAGGGTTTTCCACCGGTAGTGCTTGAGGTTTGGGATTTGTAGGATTGTAGGGCTCAGGTTTAAGGGTTTTGGGCTGGGACCCTGAACCCGAAACTCCTAAACACCATTCTGGGGGCTTGCAGGGTCTTTCGAGTCTAGGATTCAAGGCCCCTAAACCCTAAACCCTAAACCCCAAACCCTAAACCCTAAACCCCTAAACCCTAAACCCTAAACCCTAAACCCCAAACCCTAAACCCCATAAACCCTAAACCCTAAACCCTAAACCCTAAACCGGGTGCCAAGATGGGGGGTTTTCAGAGTCGAGGCTTTGGGGCTTTCGGTGCGCAGGTTATCTTATGTGAGCTTTGTGGCTCAGGAGTTGGAGATGAAGGTTTAGGATTCAGAGTTGAGGGTTTAGGATTTAGGCTTTTGGGTTTGGGGTTTTGGGGTTTAGGGTTTTGTGTTTAAGGTTTAGGGTTGAAGGTTTGGGGTTTAAGGATGAAGGTTTGGGGCTTTCGGCTGTAGAAAGGCGCGCAGAAGCCTTCGCTAGTTCAGGAGCCTCAAAATCCAGTATTACAGTATCATCGGTTCTTGCAGCCCCGATGAATGATAGTACGGTTGGGCCAGGCGTCCTATGCTACTCATCCAGGTCCCCTTGATCGGCTTGGTTGTTGGGGTCTAGGTGCCAGGTGTGCCAGGATTTCGGAGTAGAGTATGGAAGTCATTGGAAGTTGGGTTCTGGCATTAGACACCGTTTTAAATCTTATACTTGTGTCTTCCAAGCCTCCTCAAAAGCTAGTCGACCGTCGATGTCTGACCCCACGCCCTACGAGACTCGCATTGTTTTGACCTGCTTTAGCCCAAAGAGCCAAACCCTACTAACAACCCCAAAGCCCTCAGCCCTAAAACCCTAAAGCCCTACACCAATCTCCTAAAGCCAAAAGCCCTAGCCACAAACCCCACAAAGCCCCAAACAACCAACTCTGCCACTAAACCCCTAAACCCTAAACCCGTCATAAATCCGGCCATGTGAATAGCACCCAAACACTCCCAGTTAAAGGTTCATGGGACGTAGTGGCTTTATTGTAGAACTCTTGCAGAACCCTTACAGAACCTGTAAGAGGCCATACAGAGCCCATATAGAACCCCAAACCCTATAAACCCTGAGCCTTAGTTGTGGCAGGCCCTAAACCCTAAACCCTGAACCCTAAACCCTGAACCCCAAACCCTAAACCATCCTAAACCCTAAACCACCCTAAGCCCTGAGCCTTAAACCCTAAACCCTAATTGTGGCAGGCCCTGACCCCGAACGGCATGGCCATCCAGGCACTCGCCTGGATTCGGCCGCTTGTGCCGGTCTGGGAGTTCCTAGACCTTTGGGGTTTAGGGTTCAGGGTTCAGGGTTTCGGCTTTAGGGTTCAGGGTTTCGGCTTTAGGGTTCAGGGTTTAGGCTTTAGGGTTCTGGGTTTCGGCTTTAGGGTTCAGGGTTTAGGTTGGGTTGCCTTAGGGCTGTATCAGGACTGTTTTGAAAGGTTTGTTTGTCAGGGTTGTGTGAGCTCAAAAGGGCCATCTTCCTCAAACATCGGCGCGTGATCGCCGGGGAGGCAGAAGTCACATGCTTAGTCAGGGTTCAGGGTTCAAACTCAAGGCTCTGGGGCTCGTGCTGGATGGAGTGTCTTATAGTACCCTTTGTTAGAAACCCCCCTCAAAAGGAACCCTTATAGTAGATCCAAAAAAGGAATCCCTGCCAAAGTGCCGCACGTTTTCTGGGTGCGACTCGTCTGGCCCTTGCAGTCTCTTGAGTTTTCGCCTCGCGGCTCGAAATGGGAGTTTCCGGAAACAGGGGACCCATATAAAGTACCCTAAATGTAGGAGCCTTATTATAAGGACCCCCAAATAAGGTATCCCTCTTTTGCGGAAACTCCCAAAATCGTTCGCCTGCCACAATGTGATTTTTCACCCAAAAAATCGCGTTCTCTCCAGCTCTGGCTGTTGGAGTAGATAAGAAGAGCTATGGTTGATGATATAAATCCTAGGGTTCCTTTAAAGGGATCTACAAGGGTACCTTTAAGGGGTTCCTTTAAGGTCTAGGGTTTTAGGGTTTAGGGTTGATGATATAAATCCCGCATTACCTTAAGGATCCTGAAATATGGGAATTAGGGTATATTCCTTATTGTGGGTAATGCAGGATTTGTATCATCAACCGTACCCGCTGCTTTTCCTTCCGAGCTTGAGGCTGTGCCTTTGTTCAGGTTTAGGGTTATGGCTGTACTGGTTTGAGCTTCCGTTTGCGGGGTTTCAGCGTTCGGAGCTTGCGGCTGTAGTTTAGGGTTTGGAGTTTCGGGGTTTAGGTTGTCCCGGGTGTATTCGTTTCGGGTTTAGGGGTTTTGGTTTTGGGGTTTGAATTTTTCTGCGCTTGCAGTGCCACAGAAGCATTCAACAAGCACAGCCGAAGGCACCGTGGTCTGTACTGCAATATGCTATACTATACCGTGCTGTACCTTAGTATACTAGACAATAAAGACTATGAAATACTGTAATATCATATATGATAACAACAAACTATCACACCCTACAAAAGTTTCTGCCATGGACCTCAGCTTGCACAAACTAGCAAGCGAACCCTAAATCCTAAACACGGTTTGGGGTTTAGGGTTTAATGTTTAGGGTGATGGTCTAAAGCTCCGGTTACGGGTTTAGGCCAGGGTTTAGGATTCAGAGTTTGGGGTTTGGGGTTTGGGGTTTAGGGTTTAAGGTTTAGGTCGTAGGCCGCAAGTCCTGAAGACCGGGCGCAGGGTTACAGCATAGCTATAGCTACATTGTGCCTAACGCTAGTTACTAAGTCCCATGAACCTGTACGTAGACCCTAAACCCGAAACTCTACTATAGAGCCCTATGATAGAACCCCATAGCACCCTTAAAAAGGAGCCCTCAACCAAAAAAAAAAACCCTAAACCCCTAAACCCCTAAACCCTGAACCCCTAAACCCTAAACCCTAAACTGAACGTCGTAACGTCGCAAGCACCAGCGCAGTCTCACTGCTCTCAGCTCTGAGCAAGTAGCCATGTCAGGGCTTATACATACCTAACCCCAAGTAACCTGCCTTTTTAAGGACTTATATAATGAAATCTTATTAGGGAACCCTAAAAAGGTAGGTTCCTTAGGGTCCAGGTAGAGCTTTGCTGAGTGTATACAGAGCTCCTTGGGAGTATTGTCGGGTTTTCTTGCCGACATACCAGCTATAATCTCATACTTCAGCCCTGCTTCATATGAAGCCGATCATCCGAGCTTCACGCTTTATGATGCTGCTGCTGCTGCTGCTGCTGGTGATGACGTTGATGACGACGTTGATAAAAGGCAATCATGGTGCTGGTGATGATAATGATGACGATGACGATGGAGATGCCGATGTGGGTGTTGACGTGAATGGCGGGGATAGCGATTGTCAGGTGACGGCGATGATGACGACGCAGAAGTCATGATGCACATGATGAGAAGTCCTTCTTATGGGTATTTAGGCCCCCTACCCCCACTCCCCCCTACCACCCCTAAGGCTCCCTATGATTGTTGGTGGTTGTTTTTCAGATCCCTGGGCCCATGCTGTACCAGGCTGGCACATCGCATTTCTTGGGCCAGAACTTCGCCAAGGCAGTGGTGGTACGGTGGTAGTAGTAGTAGTAGTAGTAGTAGTAGTAGTAGTAGTAGTAGTAGTAGTAGTAGTAGTAGTAGTAACCCCAAACATCCCCGACCTTGAGAACCCTAGAGCCTAAACCCTAAACCCCGACCCTACGCCCTAGAGCCTAAATCCTAAACCCGGATCCCAAGCCCCAAACCCTAAACCCCAACCCTAAACCCTAGAGCATACACCCAGCGGGGGCACTCCTGGTAAGGCGTTTGACGTGACGTACTCCACCGAGGAGCTGTCAGCCCTTTTCAGGGGCTCTGCAGAGGATTCGGTTAGGGGATGTACAGGGTTCCTTCAAGGGGATCCATGGGGTTCCTTGAAGGGATCTGACAGGGTTCTATCGGGATTATCGGGGCTTGAGGCTTTAGGGTGGGATCTGCACAGGTTTTACGAGGGTGGGTTTCTATACAGGTTTTACGAGGTGTTAGGGTGTAGTATGGGGTTTAGGCTTTTGGCCTGAAGGTGCAGGGGGTGGCCACCATCTTCATTCTAGAAACCCTAAACCCTGAACCCTGAACCCTAAACCCTGAGCCCTGAACCCTGAACCTGCAGCTTAAACCCTGCGCCGGCATCCCCGCCAAGACCGTAAGACCTAACCCTAAGGCTCAAAATAGCTTAAAAGCCTTACATAGTATGGTCTTTGGGCCCAAAAGCCTCAATAATATGAGTCCTTAGGGCCCTAAACCCTATAGATCCCTTTAAAGGACCCCTTATAGATCCCTTTAAAAGAACGCTTATAGATCCCTTTACAGGAACCCTATATGAGTCCTTAAAGACGAAGGGTGAACCTCAAGACCTCCCTCGGACCTAGCTCGAAACGCCTTCAGCGCCGAATCCTTGCTTGGAGGTTCATGGGACTTAGGGTTTAGGGTTTAGGGTTTAGGGTTTAGGGTTTAGGGTTTAGGGCTCAGTACAGTTATAAGTACCTTAACTGGGGTTATAAGTAATTATAAGTATAGTTACCTGATCAAAAACCCTAGTTACTAAGTTGGCCGCAGCCCTACGCCAGGGCTTAGGGCTTAGGGTTTAGGGCTTGGGGTTTGGGGTTCAGGGTTTGGGGTTGGGGTTTAGGGCTCAGGGTTTAGGGTTTAGGATGTTCAAAACCGTCGCTTGTACCCGGAACCGTCAAGCACCACCTACTGTGGACCTTGACATAAACCCTTAAACCCCGAAGCCCCAACCCCAAAGCCCGCGTAAGCCTAAAGTGTAAGAAACCTTAAACCTTCATAAACCTCTCGAAGCAGCAAAGCTAAATCCTATGAGGCTACTCGGAGTTCTTGCGACGTGGCGAGTACAATTGTGAGTACCCTTGCCGGGGCCATCGGCACCGGCACAGACAGCCACTTTACCCACAGCCCGAGTCACTAAGTCACATCAACTGGTAAGTAGATCCTGAACTTAAGCCCTCTTACAGCACAGAACCATGTGACCATGTGATCAAACCCTATAGTACCCTTGAAAAAAGGCCTGTAAAGCCTTGTTGTCTAAGCTCAGTGAGCCTTCATGTGGTGAGCCTCCAGAGAACACCCGAGTTGCGAAGGACCAGACTCAGGAGTACGTCTGGGCGTCCTCCTGGGGGGCAGGGAGCTTATGACTCCCAGAGACTCCAAAACCCCTTAAAAGAACCCTATAGGAACTCTGAAAGGAACCCCCTCGAAGGTAACCCTAAAGGAACCCTTAAAGGAACCCTTGAGGAATTAAGTTTCCATGATACAGGAATCCTTGTCATCATGTAAGGTATACTCTTAATTTTAATAGCGGGGTCTTGCTCGGTTCCCGCTTGGTTCCTGAAACTCTAAGCCGTGAAGCGATACACCTAAAGCTTGTAATCTGGGGGTGGGAATAGAAACGCAAGCTCGCGTCTGGTGCGGTTCAGGAGGGTTGATAGCCTGATTTACGACTAGCGGGGCCAGCCAGGGAGTATGGGAGGGGGATTCACTCTACACCCTGTTCACTATGTCACCATAAACGTGTAGCCGGTTCCCCCATGCCTTGCGAGAAGCCACCGCGATGTCCGCGGCGGAACGCCTAGCGTGCTGGCTGGTTCCTCATCCAGCATGCTCGTTTCGCCCGTCGTTGCGCACACTTGCTAGAAGGACGGGCTTGACTGCAGTGGAGCAGGCCCGGAACGACGCACAGGATCTTGCTCTCGCAAGGCTCCTTCACCAGGCCGGAAGTCGGACAGCCATGCATCCAGTTTGTTTAGTGAGGTCGGCCGTTCAGCATCAAGGCTTACCCTAGCCAATCTGCTTCGAGTGCTTGCTGCCTGGATGTTTGCTGTCTCGCCTGACGCGCGGCGAACGAGACATCACAAAGTATCCTACAGATCTAGAGATCCGTTACTGTATCAAAGAATCCGTAGGGTCAAATCCACCGTCTTCTTTCGGGGCAGCGTGGTCTCATCGCAAAGTTGATCACTCCTTGGCTTGGTGGGGCGAGCCCTCACCTTCGTGTTTGTCTGGCCTTTGTGCCGTTTTGTCTCGTGGGCTTGACCGCGGAGCCTACGCCGGTGCCGGGGCCGGAGCCTATCTGCTTGCCTGCTGTGCAAGCCACTCGAGGCTTGCTACCTCCACCCAATCCCCTGCCGCTTGAGCTCCTGGTCTTGTGGGCGGAGGCCGTGAGGCCACCATGAAACAATTAATTAGTCATTTCATTGCGATTATTTTGCGAGCAGATTAGTGATTTAGCTATTAGCGGGAAATTAGCGAGAAATTAGCGGGAAATTAGCGAGAAATTTGCGAGAAATTAATGAGCAATTAGCGAATACCTGTTGAATATGGATGTGCTGCTGCTTTTCATACAAACTTCTTGAATGTCTCTCTCAAATGTCGTGCAGCGGTCTTGCTATTTGCTCGCAAATTCCTGCCAAATTTCTATTTCTTGCAATTTGCTTGCACATTCCTCCCAAATTTCTCGCAAAGTTGTCTGCGGCTTTTGCAAATTTCTCTCAAATCTCTTTCAAATGTTCTCGCTAAGATTTCGCAAATCAAATCTTTCGTTTTTTTCCAGTATTTACATTCCAGAGATGATCACAAATATAGATGAGCCAAATAGGTTTGGTCCGCGTAAGCTGGGGCTTGGTGCGCGACATTGCGCGTCAGTGAGATTGGAGCTGAGGTTAGGTGCTAAGACTTAACATGTCAAATCCTCGGCGGATACTATGCCCTTATAGACCAAAAAAGGCTTATACCAAAGTATACAGTTAATCATATTCGGTTTTGGTTTCGGTTCTTGTTTTGGTTCATGAAGACCTAAGCTGCAAGACCCCAAAACCGAAGCTTGTGATATAGGGGTCGGGGAGTAGCTAGTAATGCTACTCCCTTATGGATCCTAAATCGATAGTTTACTGTGCCCCAAACCGAAATTAACAGGTTTCGTTAGCACGTTGTCCGGAACTCTGACTGCAGATCCCCAAACCAGATAGACTCCCCACCTAGAATCTTCAAAAAACTTGCGAAGGAGCTTTTCCAGGAACCTGTCACAATAACTTTATAATAAAACCTAGGCAGAACGCGTTGTCACCCCAGACCCCTACACAGGATGCTGCAGAGCTTCAACGGACCAAGCCCCAACCCCCCCGAGCTTTATATAACTTTATGAAGTTTTGGAAGACCTTATAGTACGTCGTTGGAAACGGCATAACACCACAAGAGTTGTTTTAGGTTTAAAGGTTCAGGTCCAAGCCCTCAACAAGAGCCCTGCACCTCAAGGTCCCAAGCTCTTACAGCATTTGCCTGAAACGCCATACTGTAATTGAGCCCTCAAGCTCGCAGAACCTTCGAGCCCAAAGCCCCCAAATCCCCAAAACTTTCGGAAAAAACCCCTTGAACCCTAAAGCTTCAATCCTAAAGTCTACACCCTAAGCCGGTATTCCCGTTCTAGTTATCCCAAAACTTGTTGAAGGTTTAAGGTGTCGTGTTGTACTGCTTTAGGGGAAGCACGTGCTCCAAACCCTGGCCTGCTCAGGCACGTACTGCACCCCGCACCCGAGACCTTGAAGCCTAAACATTTGAAGCACAGATAAATGCCAATTTGCAGCCAAAATGGCACCCGAAACCCCGGAACCCCAAACCCAAAAACCCTAAACCCTAAACCCTAAACCCTAAACCCTAAACCCTAAACCCAAACCCTAGAACCCTCGACCGCACGAAAAACCTTGACACCCAACGTAAAACTCAATCCCTCAAGCCGTAGATTTTGTAAGTACAGTCAAGTAGCTCAACTTGGGGTTGTAATAATTCTAAGGATGCTTCTATTAGTTCTCTATGCTCCCTCCCAGGTCTCCACGCGCCTCATAGGGGCAGTGATCATGGCCAGAAGCCCCCGAGTTTTGAGTGGTTTAACTTACGACGTTGAGGTGTAAAGGTGCTTAGAAGGCGTCTTCGGACTTCGGGCTTGGTTACTTAAAGGATCAGGGGACTTAGTAACTAGGGTTATAAATAAGGTAACTATACTTATAATTACTTATAACCCTGATTAGGGGACTTATAACCTTACTTACTAAGTCCCCTGATCCTCCAAGTAGGGTTGTCTGGAGTATTTGGCATGTCATAGAGCTATAGATGTGCCAATAGGGTAGACCAATGATAAAAACTCGTGACCGCGGCAGACCGAGGATTGGTGACATTACAGTTGGTGTAGCATTGATGGGAGGCCGAAAGGCGGGTTTAAGATTCTTGGGGTAGGGATTCCTTAATATGAACCCTATTATGGGAACCCTATTCCCTACTAAATCCCCATAGGCTTAAACCCCTTTGGGCCTCCTATGAAGTATTCGCAACAACGGTGACGCAGGCGATGGGTGCCAATGAATGTCGTGAAAGGTGAGAATGGCAGCAATGGAAACTCGCAGCAATAGTCACGGTGTTACTGATAACGATGCGACGTTCGATACAGGTAGCCCACTAAGGACACTACGAACGGAATGAGTTTCTGCATGGCTGCTAAACTCTCGACGGTGGCGAGTATGCCTTCAACTCTCGTGAGCATAATATTGTAAGACCAGTATCTTGCTTTGGGATTGTTTGGCTGGGGCCTGAGGCTACAACCTTTTGTAGATAGGAGAGCAGTTGTGCCCGATCGATTGTTTTCATGTGCCCGTGTCCAACAGTGCATCTTGTCTTGTCTGGAAAACGCGTGTTGTCTTGGGTGTTGCAGAAGAAGCCTGTCACCGGAACCTGTACATGAATGCATCAGTTTTAACTTTTTTCAAAGCCGTCAGCTTCTAAGCAACTTGCAAAATCCCCGTCCCCGACTCTCTCTCTTAAATGTGGGTGCACCCTCCTGTCCAGAGGTCCACTCAGATGACGATGGGCTTGTGTTGCCACCGGCGTTGGCGGCAACACAGGTGGTTGTCTTGCCACTCGGCAACATGTGCGTGAAACATGTTTGGGAGTAAGTCGATTGCAGGTCGAGGAGGGAACCGTCATAAACTCAAAGCCCTAAACCCCAGTGCTCGCGCGGGTTTCAGAACCCTGAGCCCTGAACCCGTAAACCCTAAACTAGACCCTAGACTCCAAACCCCTGAACCCGGAATCCCCAACCCTAATCCTGCCCTGAGACCGACGTTGCAAAATCTTCAAAGCACCCAACAGAAGCCTCACAGAACCCGCTGCGCGCTGAACCGTCTAAATTCAAAACCCAGCATATCATGTTTAAACAGCAAAACCCCTAAACCCTAAACCCTAAACCCCTAAACCCTAAACCCTAAACCCTAAACCCTAAACCCTAAACCCTAAACCCCTAAACCCTAAACCCTAAACCCTAAACCCTAAACCCTAAACCCAAAAACCATAAGAATCGTTTGCGTGTTACGTGTACCCGGCTGGGCCAGTTCCCTAGTGAGCGCTAGACCCAAAAGCCTCGAGAGCGTTACTTAAAGAATATGGTTCAGAGGTTAGGGTTGTATAAGTTACAGCTATATCCCTGATGCGATGATAGGATCCTGATTTTGATCTCAGGGAAGTTCTTGTCCTAAGGTGTTTTTTTCAGCCTAAACCTTCAATCCTGAATCATGAACCTTGAACCCTTAAGCCTAAACCTTTCTTCCCTAGCCCAAACCCTAAACCCTATAGATCCCTTTAAAGGAACCCTTATAGACCCGCTAAAGGAACCTTTATAATAGATCCTTTTAAAGGAACCCCTAAACCCTTCTCCCTTTGCCCTAAACCTTGAGGATCTGGACAAGGGACCCCTAATTGAAACGCTGCGCGTCGTCCGCCTCGGCCCGGCTGTACGCGCATGCGGCGAGTGGCTACTATCTGCAGCAAGCTCTTGTAGGAAAAAGTAACAGTTGGAATCGCACTTATAGTAAAAGTAATGTTCATAGCAACACGAAGCAGGATGATTGTGAGTAGTATTAGTAGTGGTAGTATCAGTACGAATTTTGGTGTCGTCATTACGAAACACTGGATACCAAGACTCTCGCAAGCGGCGGGATGCCTTAAGTATGGGCCGTTGAGGCTGTGGATTTCGTGGGCGTCTTGGATTAGGGAAGCATCACAGCCTTTTCAACCACGTTACTCCGCCTATCCCAACGAAAGGGTGTCTAAAACAAGCCTCCCCAAGAGATAAACATGC